TGGGGTTTAGTGGTCAGGGTTTAGAGGTTAGGGTTCAAGCTTCCTAGATCCTAAACCCTGGTGAATATACACAAACTTTTCAGCCCGAAGCAAACCCTGGACCCTGGAGCCTTCAATCCCGAAGGCCCTAAGGCTTACCGCAAACAGGAAACCTCGAAGGGTTCCTTGAAGGGTTTGTTCCGAGGTACCCCTAAACCCTAAACCCTAAACCCCTTTTTGAACCCAGACTCTGCCGAAAACCCTAAACCCCTGAACCCTAAACCCTAAACCCTAAAGTAGGCAAAGCTCTGTAGAGCGATGTGAGGTTTCTTCGGATTCAGAGCTCCGGATTCAGGGCCTCTTGGAGTCGGGACTTCGAGCTTCTTTGGGTTGGGATCTAGGGGGCCTGGCCTTTAGGATAGGAAGCTTGAGCTTGGACTCTTGTTGAGGTCTAGTGTTGGGGATTCGGGATTCTGGGCAAAGCAGCAAATTCATAGCATATGCTTTGTTAAGCAGGAGCTCCAAAGAATAGTACTACTACATACTCTACTACGTCATCAGCCTAGAACAGCCTAAAACTCCAAGACCGCCAACCCTAAAACCTGAAGCAGCCTTTCGCAAAGTGCAGGCTTGTGTGCACGACAGCTGCTTTGGGCTGCCTCGTGTGGACTGCTGAATTGGTTTCCGCACAAAGGCCCGCCATCGGAGGCTCCCCTTTTGACTCTGTGAGATCATCGTAGCATTCTTCAGGCCTCGGAGTGCTGGTGTTAGGGTCCAAGACTCGTTGATTGCCGGGTTTGCGCCTTGAGTTTTCTTCGAGGTCTGGTGAGAGAGTGAGAGACTGCAATGTTAAATGAACGCGTGCTCGGCGCGCAGGAAGTGGGATCTTGGACCGGGGGAGCCTGACTGCGGATCTTGGGCAGCGTGTCTCCTGTATGGAACTGTTAAACAGTGCCTCAACATGCGCCATGCAAGCCAGCACGGGCTCGTCTGGCTGAACCATCGCAGGGCGCGGCGCAGCCACAGAATATCTAGCCTAAGCTGGGTTCTGGAGTACCCAACAAGGCACGCACCTTTCGGTTCGGAGATCCTGTCTTTGATAGAAAACTGATATCAGCACAACAAAGGGCTCGCACTCCAGAAATCCAGCAGTGTCAACCCCAGAATTGATGGAAGCCGGCAATTCATTGGCCCCCAGGCGCCCTTACGGCCCCGAAAGCCTAAAGCACGGAGCCCCGAGCCCTGTCACTATGTGAGGATGTCCGCTTATGCTACTTATCATCTATGTAGACGCTCGACATTGGCTTGACAGGTTTGCAAAGCTGCGAGGTGACGGATTCTCAGGGTTTGTTTAAGTGACCCATTCATTGCCTCATGTCGACAAGTGGTGCCTTCGGGTTTCAGGCACTGCCCCATGTTAACTGCTGTGACCGATGTGCTCCAGCTGCTCGACAGTGCAGCACGACACCTCTACCAGTGGTGTTGGAGAGCCTTCAACCCGGCGCTTTTCTCATGAATGTAGTGTTTGAGACATGATGTGACATAAGACTGTGCAGAATAACATAACAGTGACAACAGAACAGAACAGAACCTAACCTACATAACATAGCATCGCAGGGTATAGCATCGCATGCCATCACACAACAAAACAGAGCAAGAAATAACATAATTAACATAACAGAAAAAGTCATGTTATAGCATCGCAGAACATAACATAACGCCGCAAATCAATACTACATGGGAGTTATGTGACATAGTACAAGAAGACAGTGTAAGTGGCTGCTAGCGTTGGGCACAAGACAATTTCTACCCTGCTGCTCATCTTGTCTGTTGCGACGCACTATTGAAACAAACATTAGGCGATCTTCTATCCGCGGAGTACTTAGACGTGCTCAACAAGCCCGGAGTACGTAATCCGGAATCTGCGGTCCATCACGGGGTGAAGTCGAACACGCGGTGTGCACCTTAGCCACCGTGTGTCCCAGCCTCGCGGATGCAGCGAGAGATCTGATCCCAGCCCATGTGTGCAGGTGTACAAAGCCCCTAAAAGCGGAAAAGAGCTCCAAAGCAATGAAGCTACAAAGCCGCAAAGGCCTAAATCCTAAGACCCTCATAGAAGCTTCAACTCAAACCGCTGGACTCCCCGGACTTCCCCTGAACCCCAGATTGCCAAAGCCAGACTAACACCCTCAACCCCTAAAACCTTTGAAACTGGAACTTGGTGCCTGCCCTCGCCTGTCATCCCACCTCACAAGCCCCAAAACTTACCTTTGGTTAGTGCGGAATGGAGGAATGGGGTACAATTATAACTACTATTACGATTCTTCCATTCCCTACTAACCAAAGGTAAGAAAACTGCAGCCCTTCTTCACGCCGGTCGCCACTGCCGGGTAGCCCTGAAACAGACGACCTATTTCCAGGCGAAAACTGCAACCCTGAAACCCTAGGGGCTTTAAAAAAAAGACTAGGGTTCCTTTAAAGGGATCCTTAAAGGGCTACTATAAGGGATCTATAAGGGTACTACAACATAGGGGCCTTGATAATTGCCAATAGGGTTCCATTATAAACCCCAAACCCTGAATCTCGAAGGTTAGGCTCAAACCGAAGGGGCCTAAACCTTGCGTCAACACGAGCCTCACGACTAGCAGCCTCACCTTCGGAGGCACCCGAAACCCTTCTATACTTGGAGGATCAGGGGACTTAGTAAGGTAGGTTATAAATACCTGAATTGGGGTTATAAGTAATTATAAGTATGGTTACCTTGATTAAACCCTAGTTACTAAGTCCCATGATCCTTCAAGCAGGGGCCTTTTGAGCAAGAAGCGGGCACTGTGGTAATGTAGGAACCTGATTAAGAAACCTTGCGCCTTCATTCGGGCTCCTTTTATGAACCCCACGGTTTCGGGTTTAAAGGCCCAGGGTTTCTTAATCAGGTTCCTACATTACGTTAATGTACAGGTATATCGGGGAAACAGAGAAGGGGGATACAGGGACCGGTTCTTCCGACTTCCATGGTACACCCACACCTTACTTGGAGTATCAGGGGAGTTAGGTTATAAGTACCTTCATTGGGGTTATAGGTAATTATAAGTATGGCTATCTTATTTATAACTCTAGTTACTAAGTCTCATGATCATTCATTGAAGCACGGCTCAACATTTCGGAACCCCGCAAACAAAGAACGAAATTCCGACGCCTATCTTAGTCTGCAGTAACCCAAAAAAAGAGCCCGTCAGGGAAGCCCGCTTCTATCTTTTCGGCTTGTATGGTAGAACCTCTGTAGATTCCGTGCGGAACCGTTTAACGGAACCCGTGCAAGAAGCCCTATACTAAACTTGACCGTTCAACCCAACCTGGAACCTCTATAGATCCCTTATGTAGCCCTTATTATAGAACCGAACCCTGCTCTACTCATACAGGGCCCTAATCCCTCCCTCCCTCTCTCTCTCTCTCTCTCTCTCTCTCTCTCTCTCTCTCTCTCTCTCTCTCTCTCTCTCTCTCACTCATTCATTCGATCAGGGCCCTAATCCCGACATCCTAAACCCTAAATCCTGGACCCTAAATCCTAAACCCTAACTCCTGGACCCTCAACCCTACACTCGCATTAAGGTCCCCTGCCCTAAGAGGGACCCTGATTGGGGTTATGGTACTTATAAGTCCTTAAAGTAACCAGTTACTAGTTCACAGAGCCCCCAGAGACTCCAATATCCCTTAATTAAGGAATATATCTTCAACTTTCTGAGGATCCCTAATATGATTTAAGGAATATTCCTTAATTAAGGGATATTGGAGTCTCTGGGCCCATGGTAGCAAGTGGGCCGGGCGGAGTCGGACGTCAGAAGCTCAACTCTCGGAGCGAAAAGGGAAAAGTTGCTTCTTTTTGGTGCGGCCGCTTCCGAATTGAGGGGGGGGGTCCCGTTTTTTGGATCTGGGGTTGAAGATTGAGGGTTGGGGGTGTAGGGCTGGGGGTTGAGGATTTGGGGTTTAGGGTGTGGGCTTTAGGGTTTGGGCTTCAAGGTTGTGGAAGGCGTACGGCCTCTGGAAGTTCTGTGCTGAGGGTTGATCAAGGGGACTTAATGATTTGCGCGGGGCGTTTAAGGGTTCTGTACGACCCTACTGTAAACCATCCAAAACCCCAAACGCTTTGAACCCCAAGCCCTAAACCCTAAACCCTGAAAGCCTTTACCCTAAAAGCCTGAACCCCCCAACCCTAAACCCTAAAGCCCACGCTGAACCCTCAAGCTCAAAAGGATCGGGTCCCCATCTGTTTCGGAAGCTCCTCGCCTAACACTCCGGAAGCCAAAGCCGTCTCGAAGCTAAACACCCACGTGCAGAGTTTAGGGTCCGCGCGCGAGGGAGATAGGTATTACTAGCCTTCTAGTTATTCCTATAAGTACGATTACTACCTTGCCTATTCTTATTCATAATGTTTCATCGTGTAACTGTTTTTTCATGTTGCTATTTTGTCATCAACAATAGTGTCGTTAGTACCATTGCCACCAATCTTGTCAACATAGCAGTCTACGTCTCTTTTTAGTGAATACTAACATTACTATGATTATTGATGTTACTCTTATTGTTTGTTCTTCTGAGTGTTTGCTCTTGAAAATAGTATCGAATTATCAGTCTTATTCACAGTTAAGGGTTTAGGGTTCAGCAGCTCTGGTCGAGCAGTATCTAGTAGAGTCGAGGTCTCGTGGTTTAGGGTTTAGGGTTTAAGGCTTACGGTCTAGGCTTCAGTTTCTAGGGTCCTTTGAAAGTTCTCCAAAACCTCGATCATGAGGACCATGAGATTCCTCTAAAGGGCTCCAGAAGATCTGTACTGGTTCTGTGATCTAAGGGCACTCACCATGATCATAGGCCATAGGGTTTAGGATGTATTCATTATTCAAAAAAAGGAACTCCAAGAACGCTGTTCGTAATGACTCGAGCGCCTGCATTTGCCTTCAGGATTTAGCTTTTCAACTTTTTCGGGTTCACTGTTGAGCATCCATATATTGGACCCTTCAGACCCTAAACTCCTAAAAGCCCACGGTCGACATCCGCCGCCCTTGGTCTGTTGCCGCCTCCTCGACTTTCCTTGGTTCGTCAAGGAACTACATCATGTAAGCTACCGCCCCCGAACCCTAAAGCTTGACAAGGGTGCGAAGGGAGCTTGAAGAGCTTCAGGGAAGCAGTGCTGCAGCATGTTGACGAACGCAGCTCATACTTGCAGAAACGTGCGAGACGCATATACATACAAAGGTATGCTGCATACTTACGTACGCATGTAAGCATTCTTGCATGCATGTATGCATGCATGCATGCATGTATGTACGTATGTGTGTATCTATCTACATAAGCAAGCTTATTTCATAATAATCTGCGTCCACACACACACACACACTTTTGCACATAAATATGCAGAAAGGTATGTATCCACGTGACAGCCTATGCCAGTACTTGCCTAGTGTAAACTTCATATCTAACGTGTTCAGATTAAGCCGTAATCTGTAAATACACAAAATAAAAACAGTTCCTTCCACAGCCAGGTTTCTCCAGGGCCGGAGCCGTCACGGAGGGACGGGGCGGGGAAGCCACCTGGAAACGTGCCGTAAGATTCATACCCAGAGACTCCAACACATCTTGAAGAAGCGACAATTCTACCTCGCAGACAAGAGTGGTGCGTACTGTGATCTAACGTGCATTTCTCGAGTTCAGGAAGTAGGAGGTTGGCGTTCCTGCGTAGTGTGGACGATTTTCAAGTTCTGGGCGCGTTGCAGCATGGTACAAGACCTTTAATAGAGCTGAATATTGGCGCAGGGTTTTCGGCCAAAGTCGGCGGTGCAGGGGGTTGGGTTCGGTTTCCATGCCGGCCGTTTCCTTCGAAGGTTAGTTAGCGTTCAGCATCTCGGGGCTCAGGGAGAAGAGCTTGAGATAGAATAGGGCCCTTAATGATTAGAATAAGGTCTTGGGGCCATTATGCTATTATCAATGGGCAATAAGGAACCTCCAAAATGGTATTGGTAATTATATTTAAGCGCCCCTATATTATCATCGCCTTGGGAGTTGCCAGGCTTTCGAAAAGGTTGTCTCTGTCAGCCGTAAGTCATTACTGAAAGGAGGGGCCCTAACATATTATAGTCTATTCGTAATCAAGAACCCTAAGAATAACATTGAAATTATTTCGGCTTCTAAATTAAGTTCACAGGTATGGATCAGGATTGCCAGGGACTTGATTGGGTCTTGAACGGGCTCAGGAAGGGGGCCGTGGAAGTTGTCCACAGGCCTGGAGCTACCCTTGTACCTAAACCGCAATCTGGCTGGTGAACCAGGGGTTCCTTTGATCGAAACCTTAGAAACACCGCGGCCCCTACGCAAGCACCATAGAAACCCTGAACCCTAAACCCCTGGGCCGCTAGATCCCTAAACCCTAAACCACCACAGCTTGGCATCCGCACCTCGCGCTCGATGCGCTCGATGCGTTGTACTTGCTCCGACCTCGACGGAGGGCTGGAGGTCAAAAAGCCCAGGATGGGATATGGGGGCTTCCGAGAATAGGGGACCCGAATATGGTACCCTGAATAGTAGAATCCTTATTACTATAAGGACCCCAAAATCAGGTAAAGGTCCTCCTTGTGTTCGGAAACTCCCATTTGGAGTTTGGATACTTTGCACCTGTTGTCGTGACAAGTCTTGCTCCTAGAGTTGTTTTACTTACTAGCCTACATGCTCTGACCCTTGCTGCAGTCATCGCAGCGGCGCAGCACTAGTCATGATGGCAGTGCGCGTGGTGGTCGTGTAGCGGTAGCAGTAGCGGTAGCGATGACAGTAGACGTAGGGGTAGCAGTAGGAGTAGCAGCAGAAGTGGCAAAGAAGTAGTAGTTGTTGTCGTCGTCGTCGCGCAAGCCTTGTGATGCCTTGTGTATACTTACCGTGTATCAGGGGTTTGGAGGCCCCAGCTGTCAAGAATCGGGTCCTTTTTGGTCAGTTTCAATTAACGTGCATGGAATGCAGGGTTCAGGTGCTAGGCCAGGGTGAAAAAAATTGGTTTATGGTCCTGTGGGTTTTAGCCTGAAAAGGTTCAGGGCTGACCCTGTGCCCAAGTAAAACCGTTAAGAAGCACACTTCCCGGTTTCGTTGGAGGAGGCTGTGGAAGTGCCCTTTTTTTAATGGCAGGATACGTGGAAAGGGAGATCTGACGAACTTAGCTGTTGGAAGGTGTGCAGGTCTGGGAAGTGAGAAGTACTAAAACCTTACTCTGAAGTTTTCAACATCTGCTACTCATGAGGAGCTACGCGGCTACTGCAGATTAACCTGAGAACAACCTGAAACAAGACCCATGGAGCCCGAAACCCTGATCTCTCAACACCTACAACGTCTCTCTCACTCTCTCTCTTTCTTTCTTTCTGCCGGGCTTAGGGGTCGGTTGGCCGACCCTCAGGCATTGCGCCCGCCCGTCCCTCACACTGTACTAGTGAGTGGACGGCTTTTGGGGTCTCAAAGCAACGGAAAAAACGGCAAGGGATGTTCCAGATGTCACTCCGAGAGCCCCGACCCTCCCTGTACACTAGGGACCCCCAACGCGCCTCATCCCCGCGCCCCTATGGCACTCATCAGGGCTCTCAGCGGGATCTGGTCGGAACGTCCCCAAAAGCAGCTGTTCTGGGCTGCGGAAAGGTAAAAGTGCCGGTGGAATTCTCCCCCAGTTGTCAAGTAAGTCAGAAAACCGCCCCAGGAGCCAAAGTGAACTACAGGCACTGTCCTTGACAAAAGGAGCTTGTTGAATTGTAATCCCCCCCGCTTAGCAGAGGTTTGACTTAACGGTAGAGTGGCGGAACAGTCCTCGTCATGTCGACGGAAGTGCAGCGAATTGCGGCAGGCAGAAAGAAAGCCGTCGTGACGTCGTGTAGCGACAGGCAGTGTTCAGAAGAACCGGAAAGGTTGAGCAAGGTTATAGAACACATATGGTACAAGAAACATGCATTCCCCCGGCTAGGGCAAACTGTTAAAAATCCCCCTTGAGTGGGATGAAAGATGGGAAGGGGCCGGACTTTGCGAGTTGCGGCAACTAGAAAGACCCCACAAACCAACAGCAAGAAACCTCTCACAAGTCCGCCCCCCGTTCTAGGTGCATCACTCGGACACGGAAAATTTTGCCACGCTCACTCCATGTCGCCTCTCTGTCTGGACATGTGGTTCTGAACTTGTCGAACCTGCCGCTGCATGCTCGGTATCAGTTCCACTCGCTGCCCCCTCCTTGCTGGAGGCTCCCCCACAGGTTCACTAGGCCGGTCTGTAGGAAGGCAACGGCGCTTCTTTCGCGGTTCCCCCGCGGCCTCGCTTGGTCGTTGTTGGCCACCGCCTCTGCTTGACCAGCTTGGTGGCTCCCCCGCAGGCTCATTCGGCCGTTGCTGGCCACTAGCTCTGTCAGATGGCCTGCCTCCGGGGGAGGGCGCGTGCGAACCATGAAACGCACAGCTGTAAGGAACCATGAAACACAAAATAATACCGAAGGCGGCTGTACAATGGTTCGAACGGATGCCCGTTGCAAGCGCTGATCGACCAGGACGATCCTTCAAGTAAGGAACTCGGAGGAATGTGCCGACTTTTTCTGAAACCGCTCTGGCAACAACAAAGCCACATCAACCCTCTCACCCAAGCTTTTTTTCTTCCTCGTGAGAGTCTCGACAAGAGGTCCTCTGTGGGCTTTGACAAAGTCCGGGCTCTTGGTGGTGGTTCCTACCTGAGCCTGCATCTGCATTGGGTTAGATTTGGGTTTCGGGAACTAAGGTCTTGGCTTTAGGGCTTGGGGTTTACGACGTAGGCATTGGGTTTGGGTTCATGCTAAAGCTTGGGGCTTCCACTACCGCTACCACTAGCACTACCACTAGCACTAGCACTACCACTACCGCTACCGCTACCACTACCGCTACCACTACCACTACCCCTACCGTAGCGACACCGTAAATCCCAGAGCAAGGACCCTAAAGTCAAGAACCCCCAACCCTCCACTCTAGAACCTTATAACTTTAAACCCTGGAACTACAGAACTTTACAGCCCCGAATCCTGAAGCAAAGAACCTCCCTGGCTCCAAATATACAAATAACACCCCTATACCCGTAGCCTAGACCCTACATCAGGGTTTGCGGTTTTGGGTTTAGGATCTAGGGTTCCAAAACCCTACATCCAAAAGCCCATCCTGAATTGAGGGCCTCAATGATTAGAATAGGTTTGGGAAGATATAAATGTATGTGTATATATATATATATATATATATATTTACATAAACCTGCTGTATGTATGGGTATATATGCGTTGGGTTAGGTTTTTGGTGGAAAAACTTGTAAGGAGCTGCTTGGAGCAGTGTTATGTAGTCGCTCCTCCGACGATGCACAGTGAATTTAGGGTTTAGGGTCTCAAGTGGCCAGACATGGAAAATACGACCCAGCGCGAGCTCGGCTGGGTCACGGCAGATGCAGCACGGAACCAGGACAGGATCTAAGGATTGCAGCACGGAACCAGGACAGGATCTAAGGATTGAGGCCTAGGACCTAGGACTCAAGACGAGAACTGACCCGAAAGCCCAAACCTAAACCACACTAAAGCCCTAAACCCAAAACCCCTGAACCCTAAACCCAAAGTCCCTAAACCTAAAACCCAAAACGCGGTATTTATCTACTCAAACGCGAGGCCTCCGACGTTTCGTCAGAATTAGAGCTTGGCGGCTTAGGGTTTAAGGGCCTCTAAGGCCTACACAAGGCCACAAAACAATCAACCGCTCTGTAAGGATTCATAGAGATAGAAAAACCGTAGATCCTAAACCGTGAGGCCCTCAGAGCCGTAAAAAGGGTCTGAGCGGCCCATCCAACACCCAAGACGCTCATCTCCCCAAGACTTAATTAGAGCCATATAGCGTAAACCCCAACCGAAATCCTAGAAAGCCCAAACGCTAAACCATAGAAGCCCTGTCAAACCCAAACCCTTCATCCGAGACTCCAAGTCCTAAAGAAGCTTTTATAGGGGCCTTAATAATTAGAATAGGGTTTTGAGGCTTTTTAATAGTATAATTAAACCTAACCATATTATTGGTAATTGTTTAGGCTTCTACAGTACAGCCAATCCGAAGATCTCGCCGCAGAGATCAGAACTCAGCTCGCGCCGAATAGAGACCGGGACATAGATCCTGGCTGAAAAGCTTTGGCGTAAACCAAACCCAAACCCTAAACCCTAATCCTCTAGGCTCTAATCCCTAAGAGGACTAATATAGGGGCCTTAATAATTAGAATACGGTTTTGGGGCCCTTAATACTATAATCATAATACGGAACCCCAGCAATGATACAGGTAATTATTTAGGCTTCTACATTACTACTAGTCCAAAAGGGCCAGCATGGCTGCTTAAATGGACTGCTGGTGGCCTGCTGGCGGACAGAGGGGCTCGCCACGGGTCATTCCCAGATATGTTTTCAATTCATACACGAGCCTCTGCGCGCCGGGCAAACATGCAAAAACAAAGCACATGTGTAACGCGCGCTTTCGACTGCCGAGAAGCCGATATGCAACACTGGCCAGGCTGATGGCCTTCTCGTTGGTGAGAGCTGAAGCAGGCAAAGGAAGTAGCGGCGCTGGGAATATGTTTGACACGTGTAATACTTAGGATCATTTGCGGCCAAGGAGCCTGTGCGTCGATTGTTATCGACCATGTGCCATGTATCGGCTTTGTAGCAGGCAGTAAAATGCCCCCCATCCAGCGTGCCCTCGCAACACTCCAGGGACTAAAGGAGGGACCCGTGTAAGGGACCTCAGGGGTTATTTGGGGGTGTATATGGCCTTGTGTTAAAACACATCAGCATGAGAACGGCGAAGTGCCTGCACAAAACGTTGGTCGCACCTCGTGCACAATGAAAGAGCGAAGATCGTATTCCCATAACCTCAGCTAGCAAGTTGACTGCGCAGGACTGTCTATATTATGTTCGCATAGTCGAGAAAAGGAAAGCCGAGGAGCTCCACATCTTCAAGGCATAAGTCTGAGTGGTCCGGAGGTAGCAGAGGCAATTGCAATCCCTTAGAGAAAATACGTATAACAGTTGGGTGTAAAGGGTCTAGGAGTCTAGGGTGTAGGGCATGAAAGGGGTGTACCATAGGGTGTGTGAGGGGTGTGTATAAGGGGGTGTGAGGCGTGTAGGGTGTGTAGAGGGTGTAAGGGGGTGTAAGGGTGTAGGGAGTGTGTACGGGGTGTAAGGGTTATAAGGGGTGTGGGGATGTAATGGGGTGTAAGGTAAATGGGGGGGTGGGGGTTTTAAGGCGGTTTAGGCGGGTACCCGGACCACCAAGGCGCCAACCTGGAAAGGAACAGTGATGGAGACAGCGTTCTTGCAGCTGCCAGTTGTAGACATGTCCGGCACACTCCATCGCTCCAAGCACAGGGGCAGCGTAAGCGGGGCCAACCTGGATGCGACAATGCAGGACGTGCGCCAAGGGAGAGGGTCTTATAGATA